AAGGTCTGAAACCGATCTAAAATTTCAATCCTTCTGAGGGTCACTATCCCCTTTGAGACTCTAATGAAAATTATGCACTTTCTTCATAAAAATTCCAAACACAAAAATGTTCATGAAGCTATGGACCCCAGGTTAAGAAGCCTCACTCTAAGGCTGTTTATTCCAACAATATTTCCCTGAAATAGGGCCTGGGGTGTGCCTATAGGGTTGGTGATGGTGGTGGTGGATGACAGCAGGAAACCCATGAATTTTGGAAAAGTTCCCCAGCTGAATCTGATGGGCAGTCTGGTGAAGAGCTAGTTTCGCATAAAAATTCTGCTGAAAGAGCCCCCTGCATGAAAAATCTAACGCATCCTTCTCATGACTCAGAAGGACATGGAAGCCCAGTCTCTCCCTTTCTACAGTGATTCTCCAAGTTCCTGTACAGCCGGTACCAGAAGTCAGCTAACTACCTCATGCCAGTATACATATACTGCAGGGTGCCAACAATATTTGGTTTGGCTTATTCTGACGCTATTGTAGCACTAATTAAAAGACAATTATTATTAAAAAAAAATAGGTACCAGGACAAGTAATTGGTAATTATTTGAACTAGGAGAAAACTAACTAGAAATGGAATTTTGTAACAATTTATTTCCCTGCTTTTGCTTTGGCTCACATCTCTCTGTCTACAAAACTGCTTTCACAATTATGGGAATGACTTCAAGTTCATAAACTTTTTAACAAACTTGAGATAATGAACAGGGCAAATGTGGAAGCTGATTTAAAACGCAGTTCTTTTGTCTGAGTATGAGAGATGAATTTTCTATAACTCATGTGGCAGGCAGTTCAGTTCCACCATTATAGATAGTTTTGTTTGTGTTTCCTCAGAGACAGCTATAATATATTTAGAGTATTTGTAACTGCACGTCATTTGTCTAGAATTTTCTCTCCTGTTTCCTCTTCCAGAGAGAAAGAAAAAAATGAAAAGAAATATTAACCCACTCCTCAAACCAAAACAATACAACTGATTTACAGGAAGCATAAACATTCTTTTCCTAAGGTTTCTTTGATAACAGAAACTTATTTCTTCTTAAATTCTTAATTACAACCTACTTATCTACCTATAGAAATAATACATGGAAGTTCAATTGCTAGGAATGAAAAACATGTTTTATAAAACATGTCTATAAAAAGATGTTTTATAGAACATCTTTGGTCAGCACGAAATTCAGGAAAAATGTTTGTGATCTTTTACGTGACAAATGCATAGAATATGTATGATTAAACTTTTTGTTTAAAAAGTAGGTATCCAAAATACAGCCCTGTTGTGTGTGAGCAACACTCTCATACACACTTGTGTACACCAAGCACACACGAGGTTACCCCCTGGGGGCGTGAGGGAGAGGCTGTCATTCTTTATTTATGGCCTTCTGAACCATATTTGTTATGAGCACATACTTGTTATAATTTTAAGAAAATGATAGTTTAGGTATAATAATGCTGCTAAAAATAATGCTCTTGTGCATACCAACAAGTTATACCCTCACATCTTCAACCCTAGGCAAGTTTAAGAGAATTTCCTAGACTGGACACTAATATACTTAATTTAATTTTGGCTTCATTTTGGGCTTTCACACAGATTCTGAATGAGGCTGAACTGAAAATTTTTCTTCCTACTTTGTATTTTCCCATTTTTATCTATATCTATTTTTTTGATAAAATTGTTAGTTGGGGAGGCATAATATAATTGGGGGACGAAGGCAATGGCCAGCCAGAATTATGAACATGAAAATTTGGATTAAAAACGAAAGATCATTTGCACAATTTCTGTTTGGCAATTTGTTCTATGTCCACATTTCCATTTCTGGAAGTACTAAAAATAGTAACAGCAACGACAGCCAGCATTTACTGAGCATTTATATACTCTGCTGCAGGCTGTTCCAAATGCTTTACTCTTATTAACTCATTAAATCTTCATTTCAACCCTGTGAGGGAATGAAGACAAGTTGTCCTAGTGGCAGAGAAAGAATTTGATCCCAGAATGTCTGGCTTTGGAGCCCAAACTCAACAGCTCCTTCGCACTCAAGTATTAGGTTGACATAACATACATAATCATTTATATGACCTTTTTGGTAGATGTAAAACCCAAATACCCTATCATTTCATTTGGAAGACAAAGTCTGAAATGAATACCTTCCTATACTCCACTATGCCTTTTGGTAGAGAAAGGCATGAAACGTTGTGTGTGAGCAACACTATTATATGGTGTGCACAGTCAGCCGCAGTGCATTTTGACACACCTTTAATCTTCACAGCTTGCAGGTACTGACACTCTCTCTAGACCATAGATCAAGCTGCTTTCATTTTCAGTTCATATAACAAACACCAGATAACAAATATTTAACACCCTGGGTTGAGTTCCTAACCGAATTCCTTCTTCATTGGAAGTTTAAAAGCAAAACGTCTAAAATACAAACGTGATGTGGATTACAGAAATACTTTGAAGCTGTTCTTGTGCGTTCTGCGAGGGAGCTGCCACTATGACCCAATAAGTATTATTAAATATATTTATACTGTTTGTTCACCAATGCTGTGGCGCTTGTGCATTTTAGCTGATTAATGAGGTGTTCCTGTGCAGGGTCAGATCTAAGCAGAGACGTGTGGAGCATCGGTGTGACTGGAAATAGACCCAAACACACTGTCACACAGCCAGACACAACTTTATCCCCCCTCTTGCTGTTCGGGGTGTCAGGCAGATTACTCTAATGGTTCAGCCGAATATTTCTGGCAAGAATGTGAAATAGAAGCCCCAGTTTGGGGAAGAGGGAGGAAGGCTGGCAGGAAAACGCCTTTATAATGGATGACCTACTGTACCATCTGTGTCTGGGGGTATTTAAGGGTTTTATTTTGACTTCAACATCTGACATCATGATTTTTAAAAAAGACATGGAAACAGACATATTATTAGTTACTTAAGACTCCTGCTTCAGTCCACATATCATTTTAATCCTGTTTACTCTACAATGACTCCCCTGAACATTTATTAGACGCCTTTGATTCTAAAAGGCAAAAACACACACATCAGCTGTCATGGTCATGTCCATTTTTTTTTTTCCTACAATAAGCTGTCTGTTCCACAGCATGGTTACTAAAAGCTAATATTAATTCAGTATTGAAAGTGGAAACCTAGGGAGATATAAAAGATATTTCAGTCCATGTCAGCCACTACTACTTTTAGGCTATAAAGCAGCGGTTCTCAACCTGTGGGTCGCGATCCCTTTGGCGGTCGAACGACCCTTTCACAGGGGTCGCCTAAGACCATCCTGCATATCAGATATTTACATTACAATTCATAACAGTAGCAACATTACAGTTATAAAGTAGCAATGAAAATAATTTTATGGTTGGGTCACAACATGAGGAACTGTATTTAAAGGGCCAGAAGGTTGAGAAGCACTGCGTATAAAGAGAAACAGAAAGACTTTGAAATTCTTGTTAATGGCTTACTTACAGTTAAGTCTAAAACATTGGACATTTTCACATTATAATTAAATTTAATGCATATTAGGGCCCTGACCGGGTAACTCAGTTGGTTAAAGTGTCATCCCTATATGCCAAGGTTGCAGGTTCGATCCCCGGTCAGGGCACATACAAGAATCAATGAATGAATGAATAAATAAGTGGAACAACAAATCAATGTTTCTCTTTCTCCCTTTTCCTCTCTCTCTAAAATCAATCAATCAAAATAAATTTAAATTTAATCTACATCACACAAATCACACGAAGCATTTACATTCGTTTTGCATGTAGCCTTTGGTTAGAGTTGAGAATATGTTTGCAGTGGCCTCCCAAACCTCACACTATGGTTTAGCACATCAACAAAGGAAACCACGTTCAACATGCTACTAGCACAACCACCAATGACAACAACAGTGACCCTGTGCTCACCACATGCCAGTGACCAACACAGTGACAACCTCCTAGGATGGGAGCCCTTCCAGTCCCCACTTTACAATGCCCTGTAAGGAAGGCTGACTTTGCCTCCCCAGGTCACGCTGGTTCGTGAGACCAGGACAGCCAGGAATGAAGCCCCGTCCTGGGCGGATAGTATGCATTTTGAGACACACAACACTAATAACAAGGGAAGTCATTTTAGTGAGGCGTCCAGGGAAGTATTATGCCACAAAATCTTCCAGGGTAATTTCTCAATTATTAATGTCAATTAAAAAAAAATCAGGAGGTGAGCAGGAATCCCAATGAATAAGGGCAAGGATGAGGAAGACAAAAATGTAAGCACCGATCAAAACAAACAGTGGGCTAGGGCTCCCTTCTCTCAGAGTTCTGGCTTATCAGAGAGGCTTTCCTGGGCCACCCCACCTCAAACAGCCCCCACTCACACCACCACCACTCACTATTCCTGCAACTGGAGTTCTTTTCTTCATAGCACATATCACCACCTGACATGGGTTAGGTCTATTGTTTAGTGCCTGTGCCCCCAACTGGAATGTCAGGACAGGAGCTGAGACCTATGCTTGAAACAGAGCAGGAACTCAATCATTATTTGCTGGATTAATATGAATTAATGGAGTCTCCCTCCCCTCATAAAAAGTTTTAATTGACAACATTTTCTACCAGTTTTTTTTATCAATAATATACTGGTAAAAAAAATATATACTGGTAATTGGGGTTACAAACATGAAAGGACCTTTTTTAAGCCTGCCTAAGTTAAATGAACAAGTAAATAAATAACTGGAAGACATCATATCAAACCAGCAGTCCCAGGAGACAGCCCCCAGGCCAGCCAGCATTAGTTTACTTTTCTTCTTCTAGCCTGAGTCCTCAGGGAGAGGCCAAAGAAGCTACCAGACAATGAGAAACAGCAGATTTAGCCACGGTTTTCCATCATTCTACCAAATTACCACTCTAAAGCTTTCTCCAGGGTTCTAGCATTTTAGAATGGTTCTAGAAGTATAGTCCCCACCCTTCCTCATCCCCGGGTCCCGCAGAGCGCTACCTACCTGCGACTTTACCCAGACTCATTTTGGGGAAGTCGGGGTTCCTCAGCTCTTCGGTGCTTGCAGACTTCATGACAGAATTGATGGATGACAGGGTGCTGATGAGCTGCGAGTTGAGAGAGCCAATCTGCGAGTGAGGTTCCCCAAAAGCTTCCGCCAGTTCACTATAGTTCTCAGCCAGCAGCGTCTGCTGTTCCGCCAGCAGCTTCTGGACGCGCTCAATGTAGTGATCCAAGCCGGTCATCATTCCGGAAGGAGCCTGAGGCTGCGGGCCCTCCAAGAACTCTCCCACAGGCTCATCCCCAACACCTACGCTCCTCCTGCTGGCCATCAGCCCCACAGTCAACTGGGGAGGCCCACATGCGATGGTCCTCATTTTGAGACCCACCAGGTAGTTGTCATTAATATTTATCTGGCCCACGCCGGACTCTTTGGTCTTCACAGCTGATGGCCGGTCAAGCCCGGAACTGCCAGAGAGCACCGTGCCAACTCCGATGGACCGAGTCTTGGTGGAGGGGTTAATGTCCCTGACACGGCCTTCTCCTACAGCCACAGTCCGAGTTTCCACAGTCCCGGTGCTGGTCTGCTTGTCCAAAGTGCTGAGGGAAGTGTTGGTGCAGGACTCGACGAGGGTGGCTGTCTCGGTGTTGGTGGACTGGTTCAGTTGCTCCAAAGCCGTGCTGGTGTGCTGGCTGGTGGTGTGAGGCACTGCCATGACAGCAGCTTCCGCCTGGCCCGCGGGCTCCGTGCTCACGCTCCGGGAGGTGCACTCCTTCGGCGGGCAGACAATCACATCGATGGAACAGTCTCCACAGCCGATCGATCGCACTTCTTTGAGATTCAGGTTGGTCTTGAGCAGCATCAAGTCGTTTACAGATTCTTCCGTGTTGCTGCCTGTTTCACAGACGCTGATTTCCACACCCACGCTCTTATCGCGCGTCTCCACAGCCCTTCCAGTGCACTGGTCACGCATTTCCACCCTTTCTTTAACAATCCACCAATTCATGGGCAGCTCCGGCCCCGTGACTTTATTCTCACAGTGGGGCCGGCAGGAGATGCCTACGCTACTTGTTTGCACAGAGGTCCCAACACACGAGTCAACGACGTCCACGTGACGGCCAACCATCTGGTCTCTCGTCGGCACGACGGCCTCCACCATCTTGCTGAAGACAAGCGGCTGGGCCATCATGGCTTTATCGATTTTTTTCCTCGATCCAGCAGCCTGCAGCTCTTGCTTGAGCTTAGTCATCTCTCGGTCATGGGTGGTTTCTTTGAGCTGTACTTCCAGGCGGTAGATCTTTTCCTTTAAGGCTTCTATGGTCTGCTGTTGCAGCTCAATTTCTTTGTCAGCTTCAGTAGTCACCCCAAGCATGGCCTCTGTCACACTGACCCCAGAATCCCTCGTCTCCGTGACTGTCCCCACAGCAGCATCCTTCCAGGACCTGGAGCCTCTGTGGTACACAACAATGTCATGCATGTTCTCGTCGGCACCCGCAGCCACGGACCGATGCTCTCGAGGCCGACACTCCCCGTTCTCCCTGAGCTCCGAGGGGGCCTCATAGCTACTGCTCTGGATCTTCTGCTCCAGGGCCTGCATGTCTGCTGTGAGCTGCCGGAACTCTCTTATCCTCTGTGTGCTCTGCTCTACGCTCTCTATCTCTTCCTCTTCATAGTCAATGTATAATTCCCCTCCACTTCTCGGGCCCTTGGAGAGCCGTTCCAGCTGGGACGCATTCCCAGCACTATAGGACCGCTTCCTCACACCACTGATGTCGTTCTGGGATGCAGCTCTTTGGTTTTTCAGCTTTGAGGCCAACTGCCTTTTCTCCTCTTGCAACACAGAGATCTTTACCTGGAGCACAGGGATTGTTCGTACCTGTTCCTCAAGCTCCTTCAGGCGCTTCAGGGCAATGGCCATCTGCTCCCGGATGTGCTGCAGGTGCACGGGGCTCACGTTGGTCACAGGAGTGGAGATCCCTGAGCTCAGGGGGCTGTGGCGGATAGAGCTCCCCATGGAAGAGGTGGTGGCTGCAGCTGGGGCATAGCCACTATAATCCCCGTTGCCTTGGTAACCATTCTGAAGCTGGTGCATGACAGGAATGTGGTTTCCAGAACCCATGAAGGAGGAGAGAGAGCCTGTGGAGCCCATGCCTCCAAAACTGGCCAGCCTGGGCCTTCGGAAGTCACCCGGCATCGCCTGCATGGTGACCCTCTCCTGCTCCAGCCTTCTCCGGGTCTCCATCAGTGTCTTGGTGACATGAAGGTTGTGCTTCGGGAGTTGTGGTGAGGGTGGTGGCAGCTGTCGACTTTCTGGGATGGTAAGGAAAGTGGGTGAGATGTCCAGAGGGGTGGGTAGCCTTGCGACGGGAGTCGATGTAACTTGGCTTCTGGCTAGGAGGAAGCTAGGGCACTGCCTGTTGTCATCGCTATTGGAAGATGACAGAGATTCGGTGGAAGTCCACACACCCTGCTGGCCAGGTGGGGGCCTGCTTTCTGGACATGGCACAGATGGCTTCCGCCTCTTCTGGATGTTCAGTTTCTTGATGGTGTTTCCTTTCTGTATGTCATCCACGTATTTGAGGAAATCTAAATCTAGTTGATAACCATAGGGAGTCTCCACAAAATAAGGATCTCTCTGTTCCTTGTCATGGTCCCCATTTAGAACATCATCTGCTTTTCCTGTGGGAGAAAGAGAAGACAATCTTTTAATGCTATGGGATACACATAATGCAAAAGCTAACGCGCGTGTGTGTGTGTGTGTGTGTGTGTGTGTGTGTGTGTGTGTTGCAGTGTGGCAAGCTGGTATTATTTAACCAGTTAACTGCCACGGTATTTTGAATTTAAGTAAAAAAGGTCCGCCGCTTGTGTCTATAGATGCTTATGGTATACAAATGGTTAAGAGTTGACAGACCTATGTTCGAATCCTGGATCTATAACTTTACAGCTGGGCAAGCTAATAAACCATTGGGAACTTCAGTTTCCCCTCCCCCGCACCCTCCTCCCAGCAAAAAGATGAAAATACCAGCATTTAACTCATAAAGCTGTTAAAAAGAATGTAATGAGATAATGATTTTAAAGAGCCAAGAACACAGCAAGTCCTTACTAAATATTGTTATTTTTTAAAAGAATCATGAAAAGACTTTTAAGAGCATTTTCAAGTAGATAATTTGTTTTGTTGTATACAGTCCCTTGAAGTAGGATAGCAGTCACTGACACTCCTAGTTCATAAAGTACACTCTGAGGCACAAAAGGCAAAAAACCACTTAGCATAACTGACCTCCCAGTGCAGATCATGCCGCCTTACTGAACGGCGGCCCCGGGGTCCCAGTGCCTCATCACCTGCAAAGATCACAACTGGCCTTGCCGCCTTCCTCCCTGAGAGGCCGAGTGATGAACTCCAGCAGCAGGGGTGCAAGGACGCAGAGCACAGACTTCACCTCTACCTTGTGTGTTCCCGTTTAAACACAAAAGCAAACCCCGTGCCAGCCAGAGGAAACAGTTTCTCCAACTTGGACTTCTGTTGGACAAAACATCCACTGTCCCAAGAACACCCTGTTTTGTGGCTGTGGTGTATGCAAACAGATGCAAAGGAGGATGGAAATAAGGGCAAGCCTCCGTCCAAACCCTGGATCATGTGGCATTCGGTAAATGCTACTTCTGCCTAAACCAGGCATTTAGCAAAGGAAACACAAGAGCTTTTCAAGGCACAGAGCTTGCTGCTGGCCCGAGCTATGCATTTCAAGCTGAAAAGCAAGGCCATTTTTGTTTGTTTAAATTGTTGGATCTTCCTAGAGTCGGAATGAGAAGCGCTGCATTTTCGGAGCTACGGGAAGGACCCAAACGCAGTGAGTGAAAACACAAGCCATGGGAATACAAACCCCGCCGGAGGCCTGTGGAGGGCCCAGCACTCCCAGCAGTTTGGGCTGCCAGCCTGCCCTTCCCCACCCCACCACTGCTGAACATTTCTACCCGATATGGGAATGCTCTGAGCAGACCTCCTGCCCCTGCTCGCCCTCTTTCCTCTGAAATGCTGGAAAGGAAAGCACACCAAGAAGACTGCCAAGCAGAGGAGTACAACGTTGTGTGTCCTTTGTGCCCCGATTTAAAACAATATCAGACTGTCCCAGCTGTTGGAACTCAGGCCCTACCTTTCAATTCTAAACCGCGCAGGGAAAGCACTTTAAGGGGTGCACAGCGCCCAGCATTTTCTAACCAAAGAAGGGTGAGTTGATGCAGGCGCCCGCGCCTGGAAATCTGTGCTCACGCTAGCAAGACCGCGTCTTTCCATCTCTCTCTCCTTCCCTTTTAACTCCACATGGACAACACGTCATTCCAAATATGCAGCCGGACCTGTTTCTAGCGCTGTCTGAAATTCCACAAGCGAAGAGAAACTGCAGGCTCCGGTGTCAGGCAGGGGCAGACAGATCTCAGACACCACCAGCCCGGTGGCTCTCAACCCTCCCCTTCTCTGCCCCCCTCCCCGCAGGGTCCTGGCTTGGGGGAATCCAGGGAATTCAGCCCCATTCCCCGGAGATGAGGCCCCCAGGCGGCCGGATTTGCTGTCCCGCCCGCCCCGCAGCCCGCTCTCCGTGCACCTACCAGGCGCCCGCTGCGCTCCCCGCAGGCCCGCCCCGCTGCACTGCACACCCTGCTCTGTTGCTCCGAGGCCACGGGTCTTCACCCCATAAGGAAAGGAGGTTCCACATTCGCGTAAACTTAGCCGGCCACGCGCAGATACCATAGGCCGAGCGTTCACCAATGGAGGCTCCCTCCGCCTCGGTGGCGCCACCCCCAGCACCCTCAGGGGTTCGGCATTCCCTGCTTTCTTAATGGAAACAGGAAACCGGGAGCTTTTGAAAACGTGTGTGCTTCTTCCCAGGGCTGCCAGAAGTAAAACATAAAGCCAGCAGTTTCACCAGGGCCACAGAGAGGCTCTGTCTGCGGGGCCGGCCCCTTCTCCGTGAACGAGTGTGTGTTCTTGTGTGCAAGCTCGGAGGCCTCGGCGCTCGGTCACCTGCGAAAGTGAGGCACAATCGGCCCCACTGTTGCCTGCAGGCTCCTAGCCGGGCAATGCCCGGTGGGTGGGTGCAGAGCCCGGCGGAACTGGCACCAGCACTTGGTGCTCAACCAGTGACAAGAAGTTATCCTTTAACGAGCATCTCCACTCAGCTTGTGCCACTGTTGAACGTTTCTTTTAAAAAAATGTAAACATCCTTTTCCATTTACGAAAGTAGTACATGTTTGTGTAAAAAAAAAAAAAAAAGTCAGGTAGAAACTATTTAAGAAAGAAAGTCACTCATCTGGCCATCTAGCGGCAACTGTTAATATTTCGTTGTTACTCCTAGATTTTTCTATTTCTTAACATACTTACTTTTCCCACTTAAGCATTTTCAATAGAAATGGTTAACTTTTTTTTGTTTTCCTCCAAAAAAAATTTAATGCACTGATTAACATCAGGATTTAAAACAACAAACTACATCACATGTTTTCAGTGAACTTTAGCTGTCACACTGAAGTTTACAAACTGAAGTTCACAAAAGGCATGGTCACAATGAATTACCCTCAAATGGACTCAAGGCTCCTAAATCTGGGAATCAGTAGAGGTTAGAATTTTACCAGGTTAGGATTGATGATTTGCGAATACTGCTTGAATCAGACTATCCTACAGCTTTGTAATTTCAAATTTCATGCTCAGGCAACTAAAAACTACAAGCTCAATGTGTCATTTTTACAAACGATGTCCACAGTATGAACTGTTCTACAATTAGAGATATCCAGTGTCATTACTTTTCTTATCTCTTGCTTTCTAGTGTACCTTTACAAACATTCACACAAATATGGCACTTCTAGGGCCCTGACTGATTTCCCAACTTTTCATGTAGGTAGTCTTATCTCCCTATACTAGACTGTAATTATCTTCAGAGCAACAATATAATATTTAAAATATATTCCCCCGCCCTAGCTGGTTTGGCTCAGTGGGTGGAGCAAGCATGAACTTGCGGCCTGCATGCAGCCCACCAGCTGCGAGTTTGACATGCTTGGATAGAGCTGACGGCCTGTGGACTGAAGGGACCTGGGTTCAATTCTGGTCAAGGGCACATGCCTTGGTTTCGGGCTTGATCCCCAGTAGGGGGTGTGCAGGAGGCAGCCAATCAATCATTCTCTCTCATCATTGATGTTTCTATCTCTCTCTTCCTCTCTGAAATAAATAAAAATATATTTTAAAAAATAAAATATGTTCCCCCAACCACACACATCAATTAACAAGATACTGGGAACAAAGAAGATGTTTAAAAATGTTTCCTGAAGGAATTAACTGAATATACAGTATAACATAACGAGCTTTAAATGCTCTTACTGCTCTGTCGAGAGACTTGCTTGCTCTGTATTAGTGTTAAGGACATTTCTTGCACAACACTGTTCAAAACACTGTTTCAGTAGTTACCTTTAGGTTGTGGAATCATAGGTGGTTTTAATGTTGATATTTATGTTTTATAAATTTTTATAACACATAGGTGTTTGTCTTTTAAAAATATGACCCCAAGAAGTCACTAATTGGAAAGCAAGAGAAATGAACCGAAAGAAACAATAAGAAACTTCATTTGGGAGGTGGATGAAGGAGGCAGCCATGGCAAAGACAGCTAGATGTTCCTCAGTATGTCTTATCCCATTCTTCTACACTAACAGAATTATGTTTACCTGTGCAAATATAAAGACTATTTCTCTAGCCCCCTTTACTGTTAGTATGGCCATAGCAGAAATGTCATGTAGCAACCACCCTTAAAAGACACAGGAGTAGGCCTATGACCTCCTTTCTTCTTTGGTCCTTCTTCCATCCTGCTGCCAGGGATGCAGATGTGATGACTGGAACTCTAGCTGCTATCTTGGACCCTGAGTTCATACACAGGGATACAGGGACAATGTGCCAGATGGAGCCTAGGTCTCTAAAAGCTTTGTGGAGCAAAGCTGCTCTGCTACTTCTAGAAAGCGTATACCTCCATACTTTTATGTGAAACAGAGAAACTTCTTTTTTGTTTAGTCATTGTATGTTTTGGGTCTCTGTTACTTACAGCTAAACTGAATTCAATGTGTCTACTCCCCCACAAAAAAAATTTAAGACAGATCTTGAAAAGAAGAAAAATGCTAAATAATATACTGGGGAGATGCTACAGTAAAACTTTTTTTATGACAAACATTTTGATTAAGAATTACAGAAATGTAAAAAGCAACAGTTTAAAAAATCTCTAAGTAGGTTATAAGGAGACTCTTAACTGATGAAAAAACCTTATTTTGGACTAACAGAGCTATGCCTGCCCATACACAGCCCAAAACCACTGGCCATGTCTGCAACTAGACTCCTGAAAGTAACAGCTTCCAAGTAAATATTCTGGAATCAGAGGGCTGTCCCTGGTGTTTACAAGAATTTTCTGAATGTCTGGAAATCAAGTGGTGGAGACTGCGCCTGGCACCACCTCCACCTTCATTATATAGCATTTACAGAAAGCTTAATTGGGTGCAGAAAATGGTCCTATTCAGTGGGAGGAGTAGGCGGGAGGGTTTATAAGAAATAAAATGAGGTAGAGTCTAGCTGGAAGATAAATGCCAAACACCCTAAACGAAACACTAATTGAGATCAGTTACAAAGGCATATTATCAACAAGAACAATATGACAGTATGCGAATGAGTGATCAAAACATAATGGAGTTAACCAGGAGATGAGTTCTGAAGACGAGGTAAGTAAGTGATGATAGACTAAAAGGAAAAGACAGGTAAATGGTGGAGAAGAGCCAGGGCGGGGCCTGTGGTGAAGCTCAAAGAAAGATGAGGTTAGAAGAGATGGGGATAGCTGAGTACAGAAGAGGCCACCAGACTTGGGTCCTGGGCCAGGGGAGTCTTGTCCACTGAGTCACTGTTACCTGGCACACCCGGCCCTGTGTTAGGGGCTCAAAGGTAGCAATGAAGACTGTCTTGATAACTGTGTGTGCATTAGACTGAGGTAAGGAAAGAGATTAAATTCAAGGGGACTAGTTAAAATGTTATAATCCCCATGTATGAAGTGAGAACCAAATAAAAAATTTATTAATTCATGCATTCAACTTGTATTTAGAACTATTGATAAAAAAGCAATCCCCTTCCTTCCTTCCTTCCTTCCTTCCTTCCTTCCTTCCTTCCTTCCTTCCTTCCTTCCTTCCTTCCTTCTTTCCTTCCTTCCTTCGCCTTCCTATCCTTTCTTCTTTACCAGGCACTGTTCTAGGAGCTGGGGACACAGTGTGAACCAAAGGGACAAGGTCCCCACTCTCACAAGGCTCACAGTCTTGTGAAGGCTGGGGTGCATGAAAAAAAAAAGCCAAATATAATATAAGGCAGAAGTGAAGCAAAAAGGTAGAATCACCAGAATTTATACCAGTGTGTAAGGGAATGGGCTGCTAACAGTGGGCCACATGGCTTCTGGGGTTGATGTCATCCTCAAGCTGACCTACTTCCTAGACGCCAAGGGTCTCAGAGTCCCTCTTACCCGCTTCTCTCTCCCGACCCAGTCTGCACAGTCTGCAATGTGGGGTAACCAAACACCACACGGGGCAGGAGCAACTAGAAACAACTTCCCACGTGCAGACCAAATTCCCACGTGTTCAGAAAGAAGGTGAAATCAACAAACGGATGGCAATTCTACTCTTCATTCATATATTTACTACCTGGTACAACTTACTGCACTTTTATAGACTCAAGAACAATTTGAAATTTCCTTGCATGAACAAAGTGAAATGGAGATATGAATATATCAAAAACCATGTCATTTAAGTTCATCAAGTATTATATGATTTTAACTTTTCAAG